GATCAGTAGTGGATCCATGATTTTGATATGTTGGGGCACGAAAAAATCAAATATAATTTTGCGGGTCGAGTCAAAATGAATTTAGATATCGACAACAAAAATATGTTAAATTACAATAAAAGAATAAATTACATACTATAATTATCCTAAATTACACATTATACTATCCTCTAGCATATTTCATCTTTTGAAAACGATAATTACAATTTTATATGTAATATTTATTAGTCTTATCTTTCAACGGTTTCAAACAATAAATTTAAGATCTATATATTAGAAAATTATCAAGACAAATAGGATGTAAAAGACAAAGTAAATTAGTTTATTGAAGACAAAATTATAAATTGTTGTTGATATACAAACGTTAACAACAAGAAAGAAGAAAGCGAGATTTATCTCTTCAACTTTATCTCAACATCCCCAAGACATAAAGGGTACAATCTATTAAAAATAAAAAATTACCCAAATCCTATTATAATATATATAAAAAATTTCAAGTCATGGGGGGCATGTACCCCCACCCTCTTCTACTTAAATCCGCCCCTTACTTAGATCAGTACATACCTAAGGGTGATCATAATGGCTCGGGAATAAAGGTTTTGGACTGGCGGTACTGTAACGCCCGTGTTTCTAGGCTAGGCATTAACATTGACATAATGGTCTAGGTTAACCTTTGTAACTCATTTAGAAGAAATGAAAAGGAATTATGTGTTTTATGCTTAATTATTAGGGTTTAAATAATTAAGAATAAAAATGAGCGTCAAAAATTAAATTTTAGATAAAGCCGATATCTATTAAGAAACTTGTAGTGGGCGTGACAAGGATTACAGATATATAAATAATACCGAAATCCGAGTTATAACGAAGAAGTTATGACCTGTCGAAGTTTCACGATAAACCGGCACGGTGCCGAATGTCGTAAAAAGTGAGTTTTTGATAAACTACTTTTTAGCCTTAGTGATCTAAACGAAACTCGTAGTGTTCGTTAAACCGAGAGTAGGTATAAAAAGAACGCCCAAATCTGACTTCGTATGAGGAAGTTATGATTTTTCGAAGTTTCAGCTTAGCAGTAGACAACTAAAAACTCGAATTTTAGATCGAGAGATTTTTAGCCGACACGACCTAAACGAGAATCGAAGGTCTCGTTATTTATAGCACAACGGTAAAAAGTCTGACGAAAATGGACGTCGGATGAAGAAGTTATGAATTTTTAACGGATTTCCTGTCCGAGCTTCGCACGTGGCCTTCGCAGGAGCTGCCCCGTGTCCGACCTTGCTGAGTCATCCGAATCGTGGCATGTCCGAAGACCGACGCGTGTTTTCTGACTCCTCGCATCCGAAGCCACCTGCCTCGCCTCGCATCGGACACCTGGCCTTCGGATCTGCTGCCGCGTGTCCTCGGTGATGACTCCCTTCTCTCGGCCGACTTCGGATTCTCCCCTATAAATAGAGGGCATGCGAGATTGCCCGGGTACTTTTGGGAATTTGGCATTTTCACCCCCTTTTTCAATATTTTGGTTATTTTGACCTCCCCCGATGCCCCGAGATCATTTCCAATGCCCGGAACACGTCCCGGAGTGCCCGAGAAGCCGAAAAATTTATTTTTTCGGTTTTGAAGCCCGACCCTTCGCAGAGCCCGGTTTCTCAATAAAACTCTCGGTTTTATTAGACACGATCGTTTTAGGAAACGAATTGCTGCCCGATTTTCAGTAAATCAGGTGAGTGTATAGTCACTTTCACCTTACACATAGATATGAAGTATTTACCTTAAAATACGTGCTATGTGTAAATATATTAATTGTTTATTTGAGGTGACTGTTGAATTGATGTTTTATACAAGTTTTAAACTGTATATATATTTTTATCTACAAATATGTTGGGTAAAACATGGGTAGATGAATTAGATGATGTGTGATGAAATAAAAGTGATGAAAGGTATCGATGTTTAAGATGATCTAGTCATCTAGCAGAGTATAGACAACGGCCACAGACTATTTTAGATAGCCCAGTGGAACGTTAGTAGACTTGTAATCGGTACGTATGTTTGAACTATATGTTCATTAGGTATTTTTGAACTATGTGTTCATCCATTAGTTCTTCCTTTTGACACTATTACGTGTCGGGGTACGGGAGCGTATGGGAGTAATTTATCAGTATTTTCCCTATACTTTTATTTGGAAGAGCTTTGGAGTCTTTGTTCTTTTATGAAGTGATTGGACGAGCTTCATGAGTTAGTAATATAGATCATGAGTTAGATAGTGGGTGTGTGATGAAATGTGAGTTGGATAGATGAGATGATCAGTGATATAGATCATGAGTTGAGAGTGAGTGGTGAAAATATGGGAAAAGCTTTTACCCAAATGTTGGCGTGAGTGGTGCAATATGAGAAAAGCCCTTACCCAACGTTGACCCCCGTCATTCAGCAGAGTATGGATGACAACCATGGACTGTTTTGATGGTCTGTGGAACACTAGCAGGCTCGCAACCTGTAGGTGTTAATGGACTTAAGTGTTCATTCGTTGTACTCTAAGACCCCCGTCATTCAGCAGAGTATGGATGACAACCATGGACTGTTTTGATGGTCTGTGGAACACTAGCAGGCTCGTAACCTGTAGGTGTTAATGGACTTAAGTGTTAATTCGTTGTACTCTAAAACCCCCGTCATTCAGCAGAGTATGGATGACAACCATAGACTGTTTTGATGGTCTGTGGAACACTAGCAGGCTCGTAACCTGTAGGTGTTAATGGACTTAAGTGTTCATTCGTTATACTCTAAAACCCCTCATGAGTGCCCTTAGGGCATGTAAGGCTGGGGAAACCCCTTAGTATGTTCATCAACTGTATGGAAAACCCATTGACATGTATTGGGGGGGGGGGGGGGGGGGGTACCCGTGGGAAATACCTTCGATAAATAAGAGCTATTGACTTAGCATATGGAAAACCCATTGACATGTATTGCGGGGGGGAAACTCCCGTGGGAAATACCGTCGATGAATAAGAGCTATGGACTAGCACATGACGACGATGTGACTTCGTGCCTATTTGACATAAATTGCTGAAGGAAAGCAATGCTGTCAACTTGTTGGTTGTTTTATGTTAGGATGTCTTGTTTGACATAACTTGCTGAGGGAAAGCAATGTTGTCACCCCGATGTTTGTTTTATTTGACATAACTTGCTGAGGAACCCCCAAAGCAATGTTGTCACCCTTAGTGATAATCCTTAGGCTAGGTCCCTTGTGATAGTTGTTTTAGGGACGTAAAGTGAGGATAATGGGAATGGGTAATTAGGGTTATTTTTGGTTGATGAAATTAATAAATTTATTATTGACTGAGAACTTAATAAGTTTATTATTTATTGTGGGTTGAAAACCCTATATGCTCACCAGGCTCCCAAGTCTGGCCCACTCAGTTTATTTGTATCACATGTATCGATACGAAAGTTGCTTTACACTGAGAGATTAAAAAAGAAGTAGATCACTAGTGTAAATGAATGTAAGTTTTGTTTATGCTTATGTTTTTGTATTGACAATGACATCCCAATGGTTTAAGTAAATAAAATTCATTTCTTCGGAAATGATTTGATAACATAGTTATCATGTTTATCTGGGAATAAATTCCGCAACACTTTTAATCAAATGATTACTCTGAAATTATTTTAAAATCATAAATTAAATCGGTATTTTCTGGCCGTGAAATTGAGGATGTCACAGGTACCAACGGTACTGCCATGAGAATTGCTCCGAGAATAAGGAGAAGTGTTTTGCAGGTTGAAGAAGCCAAGCCACACTTCTTATTTCCTTTCCTTTTCGTTTTATCATACACACACATTTACAAACAAATATATGTATGTATACAAACAAGGTTGGAAAAAACTAAGATTGCAAGAATAAATTTCCAGCCACTAACGAGAATAGAAAAAAAATAAGAATACGAGAATGATGCATATTTTTCACAAAATTGTTTAAATTTATAATTAGTATTAAACCTAATTATTTTTGTTCTATTTTTTGTATTAAACGCGTTAACTTTCTAATCTTACAAATATATCGGATTCTTTAATGGTTTTAGGTAGGGATGAACATATGGACCGGGGAACCGGCCGAACCGGTATCGGAACCGGAATCCGATGGAACCGGTCGGGCCGGGACTGGGACGATATTGTTGTGGATTTTTGGAACCGGGAACCGTAGGAACCGGAACCGGTAGAACCGGCAAAAACCGGAACCGTATGTTGCTATTTCTCGATGACCGGTTCTAACATTCAAGACACGACAAGAACCGGTAGGAACCGGGAACCGGTAGAACCGGTGGTCCGGTTCGGTTTTTAATTTCGGCCGACTTCGGTTCCACGGCCGGGTCCGGTTCGGGCCGGTTCCAGCCGGGTCGGTTCCTTCGCTCATCCCTAATTTTAGGGGTCGACGAAAAGAAAATATGATCTAAATTAAATTGTTGCTATAGCATGTAGACATGGTATTTTCTAAACATTTTGATAGCATTTTTAGTTTTTCAAGTGTTTTTTTAACGTTTGAAATAGTTATTTACTAAATTCTCACACTAACACAAAATTTGATCTGTTTAACCTGATATTGAAGGTCATTATGGGTTTTTTAAGCACTTTTAATGATTGATTGCCTTCTAATAACGTTTATTTTAACTGACTAGTGTTTAATACACATTATAAGAGTTTATTATCCTAATTATAATAATAACATATGCATTAGGTCCTAAGTCTGAAAGTACCTGTTTCAAACTAGAAGGATATTGATATTTTTGGTAATTTTAAAATGTTGATAATGTAATTTTTGTGATTCTCTCTAATTCTGTATTATTAATTCTTAAGAAATACAGTATTGTTTTTACAATTTAATAAATAAATAACGGAGAGAGATCTGATTTAATAATTAGTATTGGAAAATGCAACGTGACGCCACTGTTATACCATCACAAGGAATCAAACAAACACACCACTCGTCTTTACTCTCTCCCCCTCCCTCCCTCCCTCCCTCCTTCCCTCTCACTGTTGACTGTGAGTGCCACTGCAAAAAGCTTATTCTTCTCTCCCTGTGCAACTTTTGCAGACCCAAAACGCCATTAAACGAAGGGAAAGCTTTCCCCCTTTTCTTTATTTATTTATACCCCCTCCTTTCTCTACTCCTCATTCACACTCTTCAAACCAATTAATCAACCAACCCCCAATTTACTTACTCTGGCTTTTCCTACCATGGACGTTTTCAGCCTTCTCAAATTCTGGCGAAATGCCGGCGTCGGAGACCCCATTAGCGCCGGTGATTTTGATATTACGGACGACGAAGGATCATTTTTCGATTTGGTTTTCACAAATCCGAACAATCTCGAAGACCAAGAATGTGGCGAATCTCCTTCTGTCAACGTCATTAGTGGCTTCCACAGTGACCACTACCAACAATTTTCAAAGTTGGGTGGCGCTGATTCAAAGTCAAATCACACTTATTCGTCTCCCCATGCCGTGTTTTTCAACAATAAGAGGAAAATTTTGCCACTAGATTCCTCCAATACGAAGACGCCGAGGTCTCCGTTTCGAGGTTTGATGCTGGGGTTTCAGAATAACAAAACCAAGTTAGACAAGAAGGAAATGAAATGCGAAATCGAAGAGGTTACGATTAGTTCATTGCTCAAAAGAGATAACAGTTTCAGGAACAAATTGAGGTCGGAGAAGTTTCTAGATCATGATCAGATGTCGTCTAAGCGTTTCTCGAAGGACGTTGTTCACAAGTACTTGAATCTGATTAAGCCTTTGTATATTAAGGTCTCGAAAAAGTCTAACGACAAGGTGAAGTCGCCGGATCAGACTTCCTTCCCGTCGTCGTCTCCGGCGACTGCACCCGTATTTTCTCCAAGGAAGGAAGAGAAACCGTCAGGGAGGACAGTATTTAAAGAGGTCCGTAAGCATTTAGGCAAAAGTCGCTCCTCTTCGTCATCCTCCGCCACCATTAAATCGATTCCGTCACCGGCGTCCAGGAACGACGATTCAGCTTTGCAACAACAAGACGGAATCCAAAGCGCCATACTACACTGCAAAAGGTCGTACAATTCACCTTCTCAAGGTAAACATTTTTGCTTCAAAATCCGGTTCAGTATTAAACGTTTTAGTTCAGTAAATAAAATTGGAAAATATTATTTAAGTCACCGTCCAAATTGATGTCAGAATCACGGGATAAGATCATTTCATGGAGACATAATATATTCAATTGCCAATCTGCTTTCAGGGTGCAATGTTCTTTCAAGATCTGGAAGTGCTCCATCTCATGGGCCTCGAATCTCCATTGATGAAGAGAAAAGAAGCAGCATCTGATCTAAAGAAGAAATGGCGGGAATATATATTCATGTATTTAGTTTAGTACACTGGTTAGTACTAGTAGCATCATAAAAAAAATTAATGTGTGAAAATTTAGAAAGAAAGAAGTATGTGGTAGCAAAGTGGAAAAGAGTCGAAGTGGAAGGTGGTAAGTAGGGTTTTGATGTAAAGTAAAGGGTGATGATTATATCATCAGAAATTCAGAGTTGTGACAGGGAAGATTAAAAGAAATGATGAAGAAAATCTTTTGCTTGTTGTGTGTTGCACTCTTTATTATAAAATATAAAATATAATATTTATATTTTTAAAACACATATATACCTATCACATTTTAACCTTTAGACTTTTACTAACTATCAGAGGTGTACAGGTTTATCTATTTGATTATTAACAATATATTGAGTATTTTATTTGTAAAATAATAAATTGCAGGTTTTAAACAATGGCGTGTTCGGCACACAACGTTTGGGAGCTTTTGGTCTGTAGCTTTTAAAAAACGCTAGTAAAAAAGAAAATGTTTCGTTCGGCGACAACAAAGTTTAGTTTTTAACCTAAACAAAACGTTCCAAAATCAAAAGCTACATGAAGTAGCTTTCAACAAAACGCTTCAAAATCAAACGCTACCTGTTACGGTAGTATCCTTGAATCATATTAAGAATCCTCAAATATTTTTGAAGCCTCAGGATCCTTAAACATATCCCGGGATCCTGACTATTACTACTCATATTTCTAACATTTATAATGACTATATTTTTTTTTTCTCATATGTGCAGAACTAGTCAACGCAAGACCAATTCTCAACAGAGAGTCATCTCAACCAGACAAAAGAACTGGAATACCAAGTCAAATAACGTTCATATGCTGATTCCGGAGGATCCCGAAATTATCAGACTTTTTGTTACTTACAACAGACTATAAATAACATATGTATCTAGCACACAATATACACGATTAACTCTAGCATTACTCATGTACTCGTATCATCTTCGTCTTCTTTGTAATTTCATAATTAATCAATAAAATACATCAAGACAGATGATTATTATCACCTCCCAAGGTTTTATGCTGGAGATCCTACAAATGATCAAGGGCTTTCCTTGTAACTCATTTGTCTCACTTTGATTACCATTTGATACTTACATTACACTAACACCACACTCTCTCATACAATTTGGTCGAATTACACTTGATCAATTTTTGACCAAAACAATTTGGCGCCCATCGTGGGGCCGTGATGTTCATAATCGTTCGAGAATCATGTCTACCCAATCAACCTTATCATCTTCCTCTATTCCACCCATTTCATCTAAAAACCTTCCTCCACCCCCAGGGGGATCTCCTAAGAAAGCCTCTGAGGCACCGAAGAAAAACACCTCTCTGGTCACTACCCAATGATTTCATGATCCTCCTGTGCTGATTTCCAATAAGGAAATCTTCGCTATGATGAAGAGACTGGAACAAAAAGTCACTCAACAACAGGAGGATAACAGGACAATACTCAAGGAAGTGGAGAGAATGAGGGCAGATATCCACAAGCCTCAAGAAACAACACCCTCGATCTTGCAACCCAAGATCCTAAACTTTGACAACACGGCATCCTCCGCGAACCGCTGCGAGATAGGATCCTCAATACTGACCTTTGTTCCTGCTTGGGGCGCAACTCCAAGAGAGCAAGCCCATACTACTAACTCTATTGATATTGATGCAGGAATGGGCCCACTCATGGCCAAAAGACCTTCAACAATTACGATAACCCCAATAGGAAGGCCGATTCCTCGGCCCAAAGATCCCATAACTCTAAACCTTATTCCACACCCGGTCATCATAGGGTTAATGCCCTTGAGGATGAAGGGGAGGAAGAAGAATTCCCTAAGATCATTGATTGCTGTTTTTCTGTGGATGTTTCAGGTTTGGTATTTGTCAAGCAGGGTCTTGGCGACAAAGCAAGATGGCCAAGAAAGGGGGAAAAGTCCACCACGTGGAAATATAAGTCCAAATGTTGTGCATATCATGAGGACTTTGGTCACATCACTGAAGATTGCATAGCCCTACGAAAGGAGATTAGTTACCTACTTAGCAAAGGGTATATCAAGGAGATCATCGACAGAGGAAAAGAAAGATCTAAAGAAAAGGATCAGGATCCTCATAAGACCCTAGAAAGACCAGGATCCCCTCCTGCGGATGCTAAGACAATCAATGTAATCTCTGGAGGATCTGACATCTGTGGAACCTCTTACTCTGCAGCGAAAAGACATGCTAAAGTGTCGATAACTGAGAAAGAAGAAAGGCCACAGAAGAACACATCGATCATAAACGAGAAGGAGATTACCTTTGACAAAACAGATAAATAGACGTCCAATATCCTCATCACGATAGATTGGTGATCACTATTTACATCGCCAATCATTTTGTCAGAATGATCCTTGTTGACGGAGGATCCTCAGTCAACATCATACTTCCGGACGCTCAGAAAAGGATGAACATCCCCTAAGGTGAAATAGTCAAAAGATCCTCAATGATGATCGGATTCAGTGGCGAAACGATCTAGTCTCTGATACCACTGTTAGGTTATGAGCAAAACAACATTCCTATGGTGTTCATGCAAACCCTAATGCTTGGATCTAGTTTTTCTAATTGTATATGCAATATTTGTCCAAGACTTGCAAACCCTAATCTAGCATACAACAAAACTAAATCAACATAAATAAACTAGTAAGAATGTTACATTTGATTGTTGCTTGTAGATCTTGAGGTTTTGAGAACCTTAGCACCTCAAATGTTGTGCCTCTAATAGATCACAAACACCAAAAGCAATTCGAGAATATAAAAGAGAGGGGAAGGGAACTTAAAATCAGCTGGAACTCTTCTAGGGTTTCTAGTGACCGATTTTACTATCCCAAGGGGTCCTTATATAGCTGCAGAATTAGGGTTTCAGTCAAAGTCCTCATCCGGTTGCTTAGGCTCTAAGCAGCCCACAAGGACATTCCAGAATTAAGCCCTTGGACAAAATCCTTATGGGCTCCCATAAGATTTCGTCAATCCCTTGCTTAAGGGATCCACAGCCCAATTCCAATTATCTTATAACTACAATTCTAGTCCCCTTAGTTCAATTAATATCTTTTGACCACAAAATTAATTCTAAATTAATTTTTGACCAATATTAATTAAACAAATATGATTTCTCCTTTAATATATTATTCAATTAATATATTAATAAACCATAATAACCTCTTCCTCCATTATCCATCCAGTCAAGTTGCTCCAGTGAAGGCAACTCAAAAGGACTATGCTACAACCGGGTCAAGTACATATCAAATATAGTTATGAGCTTAGACACATAATCCAACAACATTATCCTCCTATAATGTAATATTAGGTAGACCATGAATCCACGATATGAAGGTTGTCCCCTCAACTTACATTTCCGCAATATATTATCTCGTTATTAAGTTCTTCTCTCAACAAGTAAGGAACCAACCATGAAAGAAATTTAAACCATAGGGACCATTCATGTAATTTAGAATAACTGGTTAAGAAATGATCGATTAAAAATTAACAAAACTGACTTAATATACAGGTAAGTTGTAAGCTCAATAACCTATTGCACAAAAAATACTTTAGTGATCAAATCTGGTAAATGACTACAGTTGATTGCACTACATTCTCCCTTGTTTAATTGCATTGTTTAATTTTAATTGTGATAGTTGTTTCAAATATATTTAAAATATAATAATTTTTTAAAATCTATAAGATGATAACATATTTAAACAATTTTTTGCTTTGTATAAAGCATAGAAATCAAAATTTGATAGATGAAAATATCTTATTATAACATTTATTGCTCTGTATAAACGCATCAAAGACAAAGAAACTCATCACTTGGATCTACGAAATACGTTAATCGATCATTTGTCGGAAAGATATCCCACATGATTTGTATTATTGCTGTAAATTTATGTGTTATATTTTCATAAATGTATATATTATATTTCTTTAAGTGTACATGTTATATTTAAATATATGTATAATATTTCCATAAATAAGTGTATTTAATTTAATGTGTTAAAAAAAATTATTTAGTTGATAAAATGTTTGTTTTATTAATATCACAATGTAATTTAAATTACGTGATGCCAATTCTTTTTTTGATTATTTGTATTTAATAGTATAATTTTTAAGGTTATTAAACATTTTTTTAGATAAATTGTAAAGGCCTTTTAAATTTATTTTGTATTAATGAAAATGTAAGAAAAGTTAAATCGATATAAAAAATAGAATGAAAAATAGCATGAGGCTGAAGATTAATCACTATGAAATTAAAACGAAAAATAGAATATTACTGAAGATGTGTTTAAGGTTTGTTTCATTGAGGTTAAAGCTAGATTCTGAGTTGTTTCAGTGGTGGAAAGTGGTCCAACATTAAACATGTCTAAACACCAAAATGAACATTTCAAAACTTACAAATATTAAACAGATTAGAACAAGTATGATTAGATCGGAATGGAGTTGGTTTCTTTTTCGAAAAATTAAAAAAAGGAAGTTGCTTAGTTTTAAGGGATGTTCTTTTCCGATTTTAAAAGAGTTAAAGAAATGACAGTAAAACCTTAAAGGTAAAAAAAGTAAAATGGCAGTTTAGATTCTGTTGGTCACCAACGCAGTTGCCTCAAACTATAAAATAAATGTGGTTTATGGATTTTATTATTCTTACAAGATCGTAATTTAGTTATATCTTTTACTCTAAATAACCAGATATTTATAATTTTTTCATTGATAATACCAACATGGCAACATTTAAGCCTAATTAAGTTTAATTATAGTATGTATGTTATTTATAATTATAATAACAACATGTTTATATGAGTAGTCACTATTAGTTTATAACCTGTGAGAAGCACAGTTATAAAATTAATTAAACTTTCATAGTAAAAACTCAAAATTATTGATAAATTATTTTATATAAATTATTAATTAAGAGATATTTTTTAGTTATATAAAATTACAATTGTTGATTTAAATAAATACGTGACTTTATAATCTGTATTTATTTTATTTTAATTTTTTTTCTAATGTTATCAATTTAATATAAATAGAGTGGAAATTTTAAATTTTAAAATTTAAAATGGAGAATAATAGATTGACAAGTGACATGTCATTAATTAAGATGTCTAATAGAGTGACACATGACAAAAGAAGAATCAACTTATTCTTTTACTAGTTGTGAGACCAATGTATTACATGA